AAAAAAAAAAAAAAAAAAAAAGGAATAGAACAATCATCATTAGCTGATGCATTTACAGTCAGAAATAAGGTATAATGAGTCATAGATATCCTTTAGATATTCTTGGAATTTTTATGTCTTTAAATTTTTATCCAGTTAGTTTTTGGAATTACTATAAGTAAAAATATTAAGTATATAAATGAAAAGATTCAATTTTAATAATTTGTATTTTTTAGGATCTGCTTCCTTAAAGACTCCTGCTTAGTATTCTTTTTCCCTTTCTGTATCTTTTGTACTTTTATCATTTGTGATTTTTTTTTTGTACCAGATATTGAACTCAGGACCTTGTGCTTGAGAGGCAGGCACAGTGCCACTGAGCTAAATCCCTGGCCCCTATCTTTTGTGATATTGCTTATAAAAATAATATATATGTTATCTATATTTCCAGACTACATTCTATGATAATAACCAAATTTTACAGTTTATATATAAAAAAGTATCTAAAGCAAATTTTGAAAATTTCTTAAGAACACATATGTAACAGATTCCAGAAAAGGAAATGAAGTGTAAGGATTAATTTACATAAAATTGTTGAATAAGTAAGTAGATTGAGAATAATAACAAATTAAATCTTTTCAGATGGAAAATGGAGTTTTAAAAACAAAGTAGTTTAACTTTTCTCTATTCATTGACAAGTTGGTTTCTTTCAAAGACATTCTGTCATTGGAAGACATGATTTCCCTCGTGTGTCGAATCTAAAAAGATTGATCTTGTAGAAGTTGAGAGTAGAATGGAGTTTACCAGAGGCTGGAAAGAGTAGTCGATGAGATGGGATGAGATGGGAAAAAGTGGTTCGATGGGTAATAAGTTACAGTTAGAGAGGAGCACGAAGTCCCGGTGTGTTATTGCTGAGTTAGGTGGCTTTACGTAACATTAATGTACTACACATTTCAAAAAGATAGAAGAAAGGATTTTGAAAGTCTTCACCATAAATAAATGATAAATGTTTAGTAGATGTTTATCCTGAGTTGAATATTATACAATGTATACATGTATTATAGAATGCTTACATACATATATATATATATATATATACACATACCTTGCATATATATATTTTTAATATATCATTTAAAGTTAGAAACCTCGAACAACAATAAACAAATAAGTTTGTTGCGGCATTTAAAGCAGAAAAGGAAGGAGACTCTTAAAGGTCTCCAAGAACCTGTGAATGACTTAAGCATAACGAACAGGTTGAATCTAAGCAAAAGCAAAGCCTGGGTTCTGTGCCGAGAGGGCACAGGCTCCATGTAAAGTTATTCAAAATCGAACAGTTTACAACTTTGGGTGTGTGGGTGGGGGCAGAGAACTAAGATGCAAACTATATCCATAAACTTCATCTCACTAAGTACGAGGGCACTTGTCAAAGCCCTGTCACTAACACTTGCATGTGATGGCGGCAAAAGAAACACATTGAAAACGGATGATAGGAAAGTTAGAAGACCTGGGGAGAACAACATGAAATGGGAAGAGTAGCTCAGATATGAGGACATGTAGCAATTAGGTAAGAACAAGAAAGTAAACTTGAAAGTTAGAAACTATAAATACAGTCTTCATTTGGTGCAGAAAAATAAACTAAAGGGGGTTAAACAAAACTCTGAGAATTCATTAGCAATTTAGCAGGAGTGGGTAGGAAGAGATTATGCATCTGAAAGAAAGTGCTTGTACTTGGCAGTGTTTGTATAGAGAAATTAGCCACACAGTAACTATTCTTTCTCAGAGTAAAATTCTGAAGAACCTTGAGAATTCCTTAAATGAAAAATGATACTGATGACTACGTAGACAGGGAAGGTATTTCTAAATTAGGAATTAGAAGATGAAATGGAAAAATTATGGCAGAGATACAATAACACAAAAATAGATAAAACAGTAAAAGCAGATTAAGGGAGAGAAGAAAGTCATACAAAGCAAGCATGTTAAATGTCACAAGAGACAGAAAATGGATAAAAAGCAAAAGGGTAAAATGAAGTGGTTAGTATTAAGTTTTATGAACAGGGCATGACTAATAATATTTCATACAATTCAGATATTTCACTGTAAAATAAAATAATGGCAATCTCTTCTAGACTCCCATAAGATATAAATTGACAAATTTTGTTACAATTTTTGTCTCAACTTAAAAAAAAACTTTGCCTTCCACTATAGGTTCACAGATAAGCATAAGTAATATTGATTGAAATATCTTCATGGAATCTGTGAAACTTGATTCCATTTTTAGCATTTTATAGGTACAGATTGATGGTCATGTTTTTACATTGCACATGTATTAGGAATATCCTTCTTATATGTTTGTTCCCAGTTCATGTTACATAGATACATATATCATGATGTTCTATAGTGCTTCACCATTGAAAAGCTATTAGAGATAAAAGGGGAGTGGAAGGATAATCATAATCATAGATTAAATATGTGAATAGAAGAGAGTAAAGCAAACATAAATCTACTATTACACAAAGTAGGAAACACAAATAGCATACATAATTAAATCATCTATTAAAACACCAGTGACTTTACCACTATTAAGTACTTTTAGAAAAAGACCAGTAGCTCATAAAGAAACTTACCATGTCAGCTTCTGAAATGCTGTCAACACTTTCATCGTCTATACCTACTGGCACTGGGAGACCCTTCAGAAAGAAGAATAGATAATATACCGAGAAATTAATTACAAACAATTTGGAAACATTCAGAACAGAGAATAATCATTGTTTGTGGAGTGCAAATGAAATACTTTTCAAGTTTTTATAAACAACAACTTTCTCCACTATCTATTGAAACAGTTATTATAATTCAGTTATATTAATAAAGGCACATTTTCAAATAAATGCTATTCTAATAATCACTCATTTGTTTGGGAATATTTCAATATTTTTGTTCCACAAGACAGAAGTGGTGTCTTCAGTTTTATTTAAATAGTTTAAGCTAGTACTGATTTACAAAGAAACAAGGTTTTAAAACATCTGAATATATGAAATTATGCATTTTACATGGGAATGGTCATATCAGACAGTCAGGAAGTGTCACATACAGTCCTTGATTCTGGGCAATGCTGAAACCTTTTCTTGCCTGTCAAGAAATCCAGGCTTTTTCACTTGCACAGTGATCTGCAGAAGAGGGACGACCTGATGACAGTGAAGAGAGGCGACCTGATGGTGACCCACAGGTGTCCCTTCACAGATCATTAGTAACTGCAGGCTGCATTGGGGAAGAAGCACACATCCTCAGATATGTGTTGGATGAGAATATACTAAAGTCATAATTGGAGCAATTTCACACAGAAAACCCCTGAGACTTATTTGCAGTTGAATTCCCCAGCATCAATAATAGGCCCGGGAAGCCTAAATGACACAAGAGAATCCAAACTAGACTATAAAGTTTCCTAGATCCAATTAATAAAAAGATTTCACTACTTTCTATGTGAGGAAAACTGATGCTAATAATGTCATCTAGTTCTGTGTATGAAATTTGATGCATATAACTTACTTTATATAAATTGATTGCATATATATATAATTTTCATATTTATGCTTCCTTTCTGGAATTATTCTTTTTGTTTGTTTGTTTTTTGGTACCAGGGATTGAACTCAGGTCCTTGTACTTGCAAGGCAGGTGGTGGAACCACTGAGCTAAATCCCCGGCCCTCCAGAATTATTCTTAACTAAACCTTAATGCCTATACAGTCTTGAGTTTAAAAAAAAAAAACACTTTCAGTTGTTGATGAAAAAAATGTAAATCTTGTGTAGATAAATCCTAAATTTTTTAGTGGAGATTCCCGGATTTAGAGAAGTGAGGCCTAAAAAGCTTCCTTAGTAGGCTAATGCCAGGATGTGCCACCTGAGACACACGTGTGAATACAATTCAATAGGCTTTTGCATGGAACAAGCTATCTCTTGCCATCCTGTCATTCTGTGATGTCCTCATTAATCAGCTTTTGTTACCTTTACATTATCAACATAAATTCCCTTTTGTGTTCCTCAAGTCCATACCCTCCACATTGTTCTTTAATCAGAAGGGTTTTAGCTAGTGAGGCAAAGGTCCTATCCCTTGAATATATTCCAGCCTCAGCCTTCAGGAATACCTCACTTGTATCTTAACCACAACCTTTTTCCTACCATATTCAATCAATTACTTCCTACAAAACTAAGTCTATAAGTGACATTTTTTTTACTGAAAATTATGATTAAGGAATAACTTGGGAATACTAGTTCCGCATTCTTCCTTCACAGGGTTCAGCATGGATTATTATTATTAGCCTTATTAACTAGTAGAATTATCAAAATTAAAATTTATGAAACTAACTTGTCCATGGTTCTACTTGGCACTTCATGGCAAGTAAGCCTGCCTGTTAATTCTAATACTTATAGGAATAAAAGATTTGGAAAGATCTTTGAGGGGTAGCAGAATATCCTGGATAAAATTTTAACATTAAAGTCATATAGACTAGAATTCACACTTAGCTCATCACCATTATGTGATCTAGAGTAGGTGACATCTCTAAACTTAATTTTCTGCTGTATAAAATCTGAGTATATAATACCTTAGAAATTTATTTGAGGACTAGAAGTAATAGTTACTGAACTTAATTGGTGCTCAGTAAATAGCACAAAATAATATTATGGCTGCCATTATGCAAAAATATAAATCTGCCTCAAGGACTGTAGGCCACTGTTCCTAATCCTACTCTCAAAACTTAATCATCAGTCTATTCCTTCCTTAAAAAATTAATACAGTGCTTCTCTCAACTCATCTTCTGGAAAAAATAAAACCCAGAGAACAACTTGGATCTAAGATCTTGTGCCTTTTCAATACAGCTGGCCCTCCGTGTTCACGAATTCAATCAAACTTGTATCAGAAAATACAAGGAAAAAAATTGTGTGCGTATTGAATAGATAAGGATTTTTATTGTCATTATTCTCTAAACAATACAAGGATAGCATTTGTGTTATATTAGGTAATATAAGTAATCTAGAGATGACTTTAAAGATGGGAAGTTTTCATAGATTATATGAAAGTACTGTGCCATTTTGTATGAGGGACCTGGACATCATAAATTTGGCTATCTGCAGGGGTGGCTGTGCTGGCCCTGAAACTAAACTCTTAGAGAGACAGCTGATGATGATTTCTGCAAGCCTGAGGATACTCTCGTAAAGCTACCCTTTAACAACATACTCCTGTCACTGCGGGATAAACGACAGAACCAAGTGTTGTTTGAAGGCTGGCTTGACAATAAAATCAGGACATGGCTTTCCTCTTATCAGTGAGCTGCTGAAATATCTTAGATTTTTTTTTCTTTCCTCCCTGCAGGTATATACTGTTTTTGTAGAAGTGAACTCTTGAATTTCTAAGGAAAGTATGTGCCCTCAGGTGCTGTCTATCCTCATTTCTGTCTTATTTGAGCTTCATGTCCAAGTGCATCTCATTTCTGTGTCTAAAAATGTGTGCTCTGGCATTCCTGAAGGCAGAGTGAAGGGTGAGGGGAAAGAAAGGCAAGATACAGAATGTGGCCAAATTTCAGATCTGCATAAAAGGGCCAAAGACAGGAAGCAGCAATAAAGCAGATGGGTTAAAATCGTGAAAATTGTAGTCAGATAAACCCGAGTTATAGCCAAACGTTTGTAAATCTCCTAATTCCTCCTATTTCAGTTTACTAATCAGTAAATAGAGGTAATATATGGTACTGACCTTATGGGGTTGCTGTGAGAATTTATGAAGGAATCTATGTAAAATCCAGAGCCTAAACCCATTCAAATGTCTTCTCAAATGATTTTTTACCATGTATTCAATCAGTGATAAATATATCAAAATATATAATCATAATTGAATAAATATTTTCATTAATTCTGTTTGTGAAGTATTTAAATATAGTAAAAATTAAATAAATATTGAACTTACTGATTACGGTGTTAATTTTCTGGAATCACTAACTAGGTAGTAGCGATACACTTATAAACCTTTTTATATGCATAAAGATATAGCAACAGTCTGTCTTTATGCAAGCTGGAGTAATGAGATTTAAATAGAAGTTATACATCTTATTAGTATATTGCATTTAAAATACATTATATTATGCCTTCCTTACAGCCACTTTGTTGGCTTGTTAGAACTGATGTTAGCTTTACTTGATGTATGAAGAAACACACCCTGAGAGGTCTGTGCAACACTTGCCTGAAATTCAAAGTTAGGTAATGATAGGAATATAACCAGAACCTTCTACCTCTCAGTACTCTTGTTTCACAAGCAAAGACTGTGCAAGCAGCTTTCATAACTTTAGGGCTTTTGTCTCAATTCAGTAGCCAGTATCTAGATGTTGAATTGATTTCACTTCAAAGAAGTAAAGAAATGAACATCTATCAGACTAAAACAAAGAGCCCTTAGTTGTGGGAGATGTAATGGGTAGGGAAAACATAAATTAAGAAAATGAGCTGCGATTTATAACCCAAGTTAAACAAAAACCTCCCCTAAATTTATATCCTCTTATTTCTACATAATGAGTCAATTAATCTTCTAATGCTTTATAAAAGTAAAAAACACTGCGGAAGCAGCTGGTTTTAATGTTAAAGCTAATTAGGAAAACACATTAAGGCAAGAGAGAAGTGCTGAAGTTACATTTAGCTCAAGAGGAAAGAAGTATGTTCATGTGTTTGGGTTATGGACAAGTATAAAGAAGGAAAGATAAATTAAAGCTTGTCTTTTATATCCTGCAATCTGATTTCCCCAAGCATAGTAGCCACGAGAGAACAGAGAAATGGGTCATTATATTAGAAGCTGTTCTAATCAAGACAGACGAGAAGGTTAAGACCTGTATTTCACAGGTACCAGACTGAAACCTCTAACCGAACTTACGGAGTTTTCTGCCTGAGATGATTAAACATACAAGCTATGCAAGCATCATAAAATTTCTTAATTGTGAGATGATTTGCCCCCTGACATACATAGCAGATTCAAAGTGTATTCTTAATAACCTCACAAAGGAGTAGCCATGATGATTAAACATACAAGCTATGCAAGCATCATAAAATTTCTTAATTGTGAGATGATTTGCCCCTGACATATATAGCAGATTCAAAGTGCATTCTTAATAACCTCACAAAGGAGTAGCCGCAGGGGGAATAATATTTAAAAAACACGCTATCACTTTAAAAAAACACGCATCTTTAACAGATCCTGCAAAGTGGAAATTTAAGGTTAATTTTGTTTTCTCTGGGGGCTGGAGATGATACAGGGGTTGGAGAAGGAAGGAAGGAATAAACACTTTGAGGTAAAAGTGGAGGGTATGGCTCCCAGTAGCGATAGTTCTCAAACTGTCACTTACTCGTATGCAGATCACCTGAGGATCCTGTAACAATGCAGATTTCGACTCAGAATCCCTGCTCTGGCAATTGAACATTTATGTTAAAACACAGGTCTTTCTACTGCCCCGGATTCTGGAACCACAATTAGTGACAAGGAACCCGAGGGCTGTTTTTCTGAGGTCCAAAATGAAGGTCCTTTTTTTCTCGTTCTTACTGCTTTCAGAGACCTAAAATAATCCCTATAGAAGTCCTTTCTTCCAAGACAGAAAGTAATTTAATCGAGGAACCTTTCCTGATAGGAATTAGGGCAGATTTTGAAATTGGTGTTGGAAAGAGTACATGATGTTATAGCTTCCAGCTGCGGAGCCTGTTTCGAGCCATTCCCGAGCGAATGGCGCCTCCTTGTGTCCGGTAAGAACCATTGCAGAACAAGTTTGATTTGAAGATTATTGTTCAATGAGGATACAGGAAAATATTTTAGAATTTTTATAGATCACGGAAGCCACGGTAGAGCATAGTTGAATGATAGATATAAAGCATATTATCGAAACTTTGGGATTTTTGGGATAAGAACCAGTCTATTGAGACTAATAGTTAAGGGCTCAAGCAAACATTTTTAAAATTGTGGTGGGGAGGTTCAATCTGAGAAATAGTGAAAGGAAAAGTGAGAGGGAAAGGGAATCTCAGAAACAAAATACGAACAAATTCTCAATCCTGCTTAATTTAAGGGCTTTTAAAAACTTAAATTAAGATTCAACAGTGTGAGAAAGTTCTGGAAAACAACAAAATCGAACTCACCCAAATGTAATGAGATACAGATAAGCCAACACAATGGTTTTCAGTGTGTGTTCCTCAGACTGGCAGCATCAGCACCATCTAGGAACTTCATAGAAATGCCAAACAAATTCTCAATCCTGCTTAATTTAAGGGCTTTTAAAAACTTAAATTAAGATTCAACAGTGTGAGAAAGTTCTGGAAAACAACAAAATCGAACTCACCCAAATGTAATGAGATACAGATAAGCCAACACAATGGTTTTCAGTGTGTGTTCCTCAGACTGGCAGCATCAGCACCATCTAGGAACTTCATAGAAATGCCAGTTTTTAGCTTTCTCAATCCTGCTTAATTTAAGGGCTTTTAAAAACTTAAATTAAGATTCAACAGTGTGAGAAAATTCTGGAAAACAAAATCGAACTCACCCAAATGTAATGAGATACAGATAAGCCAACACAATGGTTTTCAGCGTGTGTTCCTCAGACTGGCAGCATCAGCACCATCTAGGAACTTCATAGAAATGCCGGTTTTTAGCCTCATCCAGATCTAATGAATCAGACATGCTGGGACTGGGGGCCCCGAGATTTGCATGTTAATCTTCCAGGTGATTCTGATGCGCAGGGAAGTTCTAGTCATAAAATTAAGGTCAGGTCCTTAAAAATCATGCTCAATAAATTGGAAGATATGAAACACATAAACCAAACCAGATAAGCAAACAAAACTAGCCCTCAACAGCTGCTGAGTATACTTTTGTATTTTTCCTGTTAACAAATTAGTTCTCTATTCACCCACCTACCTGTTGTGCTTTCCCTTGATTGTAACCATATGTCGAGTCGTCGGTTTCCCTATCCCACCTGAATAATTAAACACTTGTGAAAAACGCTAAAGGATCTACTGCTAGAGAATCCTGCTTTTCACCTTCATCTACACCTCCCTTACATCCGCGGTGTTTCCATGATTCTTAAAAGCTGTCAGCTCAGGAGTCATGAGAATGAGAGTCTTTGGGTCAATGAAGAAAGAATCAGGTGGATTCAAAGAGTTCAGTTACCAGTTGATTTCATTACACCTTGGATATCTAGAAAACTCTGTACCCTCAGTGATGAAACCATGTTGAACACTTTGAAGGGGAGAAGGCTTTGATTCCGTATGCCACGTTCCTACTACCTTCTTCCATCTTCTTCACATGCACTTGTCTCTTGGTTCCATCACTTTTTTTCATGGTCTCCAGTGAATCTCCTAATCTCTCTACACCTCACACTAGAATATTAAGGACTATGACAGGTCCGATTCGCATGGTCACTGTTGAGGTGGAACAACACATTGGGCTAAAGGTATTGACACAATGCCTGTTTAACATTTTATTAAAATTTCTAAAAGTGACAAAAGCACACTCAGCTGAATTAGGAAGCCATAGAATTTGACGCACTACAGGTCGTCCAGGAAAGCCATGTACTCCAGCTTATAAAAACATGCAAGATTTTATAGATATCACCATGTAATTCAAAATACAGGCCAAAGTTGAGGCAATAAGTCAGTCTATTAGCAGAATATATCCCTCTACTATTTACTGAGCACATTCTATTTTCAATAGTGCATATACTAGAAAATAAGTTGTGGGAACAATTTAAGTGGATACATTTTTAATTGTTTTTATTTAAGAGAAGATAATCACATTTTAAAAAACTGAAAATTTTACTCATGTGTTGGTCTTCCTTGCTTTGATTTTTCAACTCAATTTTGAGAGTACAGTGAGTTTTAATGTGTAATATTCATCTCCAAATCCTGGTCTCAATGAAAAATCATGCCCCTGTATGTGGAGAAGTTGCTGATACTTCAGGGACCACACTTTGGTATCGTCCATTCTAGTTCTCCATTCTAGTTTCTTGTTTGCTGTACACCCCTCACCCAAGGAAACAGAATTCTTTTAAGAGACACATAGTTCTGGATATCTTTATTTAGTTTAGTCGTTTATGCTCCAAATAGGATATTCTGAAATAAATATATGAAGAATAATTTTCCTAGTTCATATTAAGCCAAAGAATGGCCAACATTTGTTGTTTTAAAGGTGGAATAGATATAAACCAAATTTTAGAGCACTTTAAATGACAATTTGAGTATGAGTCAAATGCACAACAGGCAATATTTCTCAGAATAGAGTTTGTAGGGACACCCTAATTATCTATGTGGAGGTGATAAAAAATCAGATTCATGGACTCCTGTTTCAGATGAACTAAATCAGAGCGTGGGAATCTGTATTTAAGTAAAACATTGAAGTGAAACCTGGAATCATCACTGAAGTTAAATAATCTGTGCACTCAACAGTGATAAAAATTGAAAACATTACAAAATTATAAATTGATGAAAAGAGTTTTTACAAAGACAAAATAAGCAGAAAATATGGAAGCTGGCTGAGATAGAGGCATAACTAAACTAGAATTGAAAAATTAAACTAGAATTTAAGGGATGGCAATGCTTTGACTAAATCAAAGCTATGAAATAGGTAAAGTCTGGTATTATCTACAGTTCTCTAGGGCAAAAGCAAAATGGAGCATGTCCTCTCTGTAAGTATGAGAATGAAGTCTTTTCTCTCCTTAAGTCTGTGAATTCGGCAAGTTGCTGGACCTTTCTGACTCATTTCCTGATGGGAGGTGCTTACTTCCTAGGGCACTGCAAATACACAAGACGGCTAGAGCACATTCCTCTGAATGACTTGCAGCCTTCTACTGGCACAAGAGACCCTGCTCGTATTCCCCATCTAGAAATCATACCTGTCATGATCACCCTCATCATGGTTAGCCGCAACAGTACCCTGATTACCTGATATGTCTTTTCACTAAGAAATGTCTTCTCTAAAAAAACTAACATGAATTTTTAACAAAATTCATATTAGAGGCAATTTCTTACCCCATTAAAGTAAGTTTTGATGGGGAGAATTTCAGATCCTGAAGAACTTGTAGAAGAAATACATCCAGGTATGTAGGCTCCTGAGATGACCATGTACCATCCTTCAGTGGGACAGCTTATGGTTGAAACCTCAGTGGTTTATAGATATATTTCTTCCAGTGATAGAAATGAAGACTCTGGGAGAGGAAATATGTTTTAAATGTAGGCAGTAAGTTTGATCTAAGCTCTATTACATCCTATGAATAATTAAACACATAGAACTATTTATTTGAAGGAGCTAGAATTAACTAGAAAATCTCTTAGGGTGTTTGATCTAAGCTCTATTACATCCTATGAATAATTAAACACATAGAACTATTTATTTGAAGGAGCTAGAATTAACTAGAAAAATTCTCCTAGGGAGCTAGAATGAACTATTAAAAGTAGTAGTAGCTAGCATTTATTAAATGCCTACTATGTTCAAGGCACCATACCAGATGTTTTGTAAATATTATCTTCTTTGGCATGCATCCAGATCATCTGGTTTCCTGGGCCCCATGCCCAGAATTTCTGATTCAGTAGGTTTGGGGTATAAGAATTTGTATTTATTGCAATTTCTCAGAAGAACCACTAACCTAGAAAACAGCAGACATTTAATAAAGCTAGATACTTGTTATTATTTAAAGAAAAATGAGAATGTAACTTTTCCTGGAAACTCATGAGAATTACTCCTTTGGTAATAGTGTGTGTGTTTTTAAGTATAACTAAATGACATGTCACTACTGTGTCTCTTCAGAGGCATGCTTCTCCACGAGATTGAAAGGATAAATTTTAATTACAAATCCCAAGAATCCTGAACACAAAGCCAGATGCGAGGTACTCTCTTGGCACTGCAATGCCCACACCTGCTCTTACTGGAGGACTCTTCTGATCCACACTAAGGTGGTCCGTGCCTACCTATTTTTGCTTTGATTTCCATCTGCTGTTTCCCAAAAAGGATTTGTTGCTTGTATAGCTTCTAAAATAATATTGAAATCTATGTTCTCCCTCCAACATAGTTAAGTAGACATATATAATTTTTATTATAAATTTTAAAAGTATTTAAATGTCAATCATTAAAAACTTGTTTCTCCTTTAAATGTATCCAATCAATCTAAATATCTACATAAATCATTTTAAAATATAAGAACAAGTTCTTTAAAATATTAGAAATTTTAAATCATTTTTAACTTTCTTTGAATTTGTATTTCAATTTTATTTTCTTTTAGATCTTTCTTAACCCATCATACATCTTTCCAAGTAATATCTATGTATAGATTGAAATTCACATTTTTGTTTTCTTGATCATTACAAATGGAACAAACATAACTCATATAAATAGTGATATTTATTAAAACTAAGAATAAAATTTTAGTGAAAATGAATGTCATTGAAATGAAGGTACACTTCCCCAATTATTTTATATATCAGTTAATGGATCATATTAATTGCTAGAATGAAACTGATTTTAGCATAGATCCTGTTTCTCTTTTTATAGATGAAAATATTGAAAAACTTTGTTCATATATGTGTAAATATATGGAATTTGACTAAATTTTTTGGCATTGTTTTAGCAATATAACTTGTTTAAATTCCTTATTCTTCAAAATTAACATTCTATGATCTATCATCAAAATTGTTTTCAATAGTGTACAATTTCATAATGAGGTTTTACTTTAATTTCATTCAAAGCAAAAATAGGAAATGTTTAGCTCAAAAATACATGTTATTTAGAGTCATCCAATAGCATCACAATAATATTTATATTTGTCTTTTTGTACTCAGGGAATTATTAAACACCAGAGAGTGCATATAGATTTAGGAGAAAAGAGTCATGTGTTTTTATCTAGTTAAGTGGTATAGAGCAGTCATTAAAGGTGAGGATAAAGGAGATGATAGGTGAGTTTTCAGTTTTAGCAAAGAGGTCAAAAGGAAGTTAAAATTCTAAAAATGTTGTCCATGTCTACATGCTCCTTAAACAGCTTATATGAACTCTAAGGGATACATTATGCCATATGAATACATGTGGCTGCTTTGAAGGTCTGGCTTATAAAATAAAATGCATAAAGTTTAATAAAGTAAAGAATAAGATAAAATAGATAAAAGAGACAGGAGGAAACAGAAGTAGTAAAAGGATCAGTGTAATGGAACATTAGATTTAACTCAGAGCTTTTGAGTCTTATTCCATGTAAGTATTATTTTAAACCTCTTGTGTCTTTTTCCCTCTGCACTATTCAAGAAAAAAAATGAATTCATTATTTAGTAGTTACTAAGAGAAACCTTTTGGATAACTTCTGTCTGTGTGGAGGTTCTTTTGGAAGTCTGAATCCCTATGGAATGAAGCAAAACAATCTTAATTTGTGGAAGACGCATATGCCAGCATTCTGAATGTTTGCCTTTTCCCACAAGGCTCTAAAAGCATTGTTTGAGAAACAGTAGGTGTAAGTCTTGGAAATAGCTATGATTTTTTTTCTTTTTGTCCCAGGACCTTTTCCTTCCTAAACTACACAAAGAATCACATTCCTGTGTCCCTCCCTTCTCTCAATGTTGGGAACCACTGTGATTTTGTGACTAAGAAAGAGGGGAGAATCTAGAAGTAGAAAATGCTAGATTTTGAGCCTTTAAGCCTTAGAAGGCTTAAAGAAGGTTTTTGCTCTTTGAGAACATACAAGACAAGGAATTAAAAAGTACTAAAACTTGTTGAGAAAAAGTTAAGCACACCTGTCATTCTGATATAGTGGAGTTTTATAAAGTGAATAAAATGGAAACTCATCTTAATTGAGTCACAGATGCTCAGTTGGCTGTTTTATGAAACCACTTTCCAATGGCTTGGAGGACTATATATTATTTGAGTAGTTGACTGGGATTCTAACTTGAAAACAGCTAGGATTGACATGAATAGACTGTCCAAGGAAGGATTTAATTAGCAATCATATTTAAAACTATTTAATGGAGAGAGGAGATACCAGTTAAAACCACTATTACCATTTTATACCTTTTAAATGAACAAAAGACAAAACATAATATTAGTGCCTCATGTTCATAAAGATATGATGAAGTGGGAATATTTGTACTTTGGAGTTGGGAGAACAAATATTGGTAAACTCTTTTAAAAATTAATCATAGAAGGTATCCAGCAGAACTTGGAGGACTGGGTCAACTGTGCAGAGATCCAGTCCTCTCTCCGGCCTGCAGCAAGCAGACTGGTAAGAACCGGTTAGCCATGTGGGTGCCACTGCAACATCCACAACCACACCCCCTTCCACCCCACCTACCCCCCACCCCTGCTCTCAGACCTCCTGATTGTGCCAGTTCTTGGACCCACTCTGTAGAGGCACAAGTGGTCATAAGGTCATTTTTCTGAGCTCTGAAAGATAGAACAGAAGTGAACAACTTCAATACAAGCACATTAGCTCTCCATCATTGGTAAGCTGAAGGGGATCACCACCTTCCATCAGAATTTTGAATATCTTCAGAGAAAGGGCAGGGGGAGCCTGTAGTAGAACCTTGCAGAGTTTAACCCTGCAGGAGGTCAGAGACCTCATTTTGGGCCTTGCAGCAAGAATTCAGCCTGAATCTTAGGGGCCAGCCATCATCTAGCTGAGACTTAATGACTTAGTTCTGCACATTGCTGTCATTGCTGTGCACATTGTCTATTGTGACAGCAGAGATATAGTCTGAAAGAGGCCTTTCAAATTTTTTCTTCTTTCTTTTCCTCATTCCATTCTGCAAATTCTTTGTTCTGTCTTCGTTTTCCAACTCAGTCTCTTGCTCCCCCATAATTTTCTTCATCTCCCTTTCTGTTCCTGTTCCTGTCCTATCTTGGATTTCTTCTTCTTTTGTTTTTTCTTCTTTCTTTATTTACTTTTCTTCTCTCCTTTTCCTTCACTCAAGGATCACTAGTTTCAAAGGAAAGTGAGCCCCTATTACTGCTACATTGTTTTATTCTTTTTTTTTTTTTTTTTTTTTTTTTTTTTTTTTTTGGTACCGGGGATTGAACTTGGTCCTTGTTCTTGCAAGGCAGGCCACCGAACCACTGAGCTAAATCCCTGGCCCTATGTTGTTTTATTCTTGTCCTTATTCTTGCACTCTATCTTTCCCTCTTGTCTTCAACAATTTTCTAAAGTTTGTGTGGTCATTCTGTGTCCCCTAGTTTCACTTGAAACCTTCTCAAATTCTTCTACCTATCGATTCATCTCATCCTAACTCTGTGTAAGCCCCCATCCTAAAGGTTAAAGTTGCAATGTTGAAGAGTTTATTCACTGTAAACATATTTTGGGCTGCTCCTTGATTTTGATTTAATTCACATATTTTAAAGGTGATAGCTTAATGATTACCACAAATGGTCAATTTTTAAACTGTCCTTAATGCTATTATGTTGCTGATTGTATCAATTAGGCTAAAGGGTTGTGATGCATTTAATAAGTTGTCCTTTCTGATATTATGAAAATGAGAGTCTTTATGAGTCATTAGACACTCAAGAGCTAAAGTGCAACTATATCAGGAAGATTTAAGTAATAACCCAGAAATTAAACCAAGAACAACCCAACAACAAAAATAAAAATGAGAAAACACTTAAAAAAGGCACAAAGATATGCTTTCAGTTCACCAATGGCAAACTCTATGGGAAATGAGGTGGAAAAGTCTGCAAACCAACCGCCAGGACACCCCGAACTCATAGCACAGGAAGTAACAAAACAGATCAATCAGGCTCTAGAAAAATTCAAAACAGAAATAATTTCCCAGATAACTACAGAGATGGTGAGCACAATGAAGTACATGATTAGAGACTCTAGAACAGAAACTGATAAAAAAAAAAAAAAGATGAGCTCAGGACTATGATAGAAACCATGAAGGCCCACCATAAGAAAGAAATGGAAACCATGAATGCCCAACATAGGAAAGAAATGAAATCCATGAAACAGGTTCAAACAGATATCCAGGAGATTAAAAACTCTACTGAAACTTTTAACAACAGGATAAAAGAATTTCAGATATAGAAGAAAGGATTGCAGTTAGTGGCTGTGAAAAGAGAGATCTCTTAAAATCAGTAAGGGATCATGAAAAATCAATCC